TGAAAACCTCATGTGCTGGTGTAGGGCTGTCAGTTTCCTAGAACTGATCTGTTTGACCCCTCATACGTCGAATTCGACGGGAGAGTCGAGTATATATATATATATATATATATATATATATATATATATAGAGAGAGAGAGAGAGAGAAAGGGGGAAAGAGAGTGAGAGAGACAATGAGAATACTTATATATATATAATGTATTTTGGGGCAGAAACCTTGCTTTTAAACATCTTTCATTTAATATGGAAGACGAGGAAGATTTAATTCGTTTTTATTTAGTTTTTTCAAGGCTTCTTTAGGTTTCTCCGTTTAGTTAGAGTAAAGAAGTACAAAAATTGTATATTAATTTTCATTGTCCCAAGCGCTTTCGGTCACTTCTTTAGGTATTTAAAGCTCTTCTATGAATCGAGCACTCCTATGTCACTGGCACGTTTATTCAAAAATAAATACGTAAAAAGTTACCTTCCTCTCTACCGAGAACTGACAGATTAGGGGAAAAATCTCCATTTGATGCCAAATCAGTCGGATTTGTATCCGTGTTTGAGGGAATCGGATATCTAGCCACATTACAGCTGTGATACAGAGAAACAGTCTGTCTGTGGATGACAATATATATATATTATGTGCGTATTTGGGCAGCAATCCTTCTTTTATGCATGTTTCATTAAAGACGACTGATAAGATACTGCGATTAAGCTTTTTATTTAATAATTCTTATGTTCGTATAAGTGTTTTATATTCTTGATATAAATTGTGTCAAAATTTCCAAATATTCTGTATCTCCGAGCGCTTTCGGCTATTCTATTAGCCATTATAAAGGATGCTTTTTATTTTTTTATTTTTAACTGAATGTGTAAATTTTTTATATATTTCTAGAGTTGTGGAAATGTTTTATTATTTTCCAAACACGGTCAACACATTATGGTCGTGTTCATAGTTGATGTTATTGAGAGTTGGATTTTTCATTTTTATTATTAGTACTTCCGTTATTTTTTGATATTTTTTTACATGTGGGTGAGGCTACTATACTAGTATTTTCTACAAGTACACCCTTGTGCAAATTGATTGAAACAAAATGAATAATTTCGTTATTATTTACTTTTTTCGTATTTGTCAATGAAATATGACCCATTGCACATGTTAGTACTTCGTATGTCCATTCTACAAAATCGTTCCTTGCAGATTGACCACCGATTCTCGATTGGATTTAAACCCGGAGAGTTTTGGGGTCAGTCTATAGTACTTTGATTTGCTCACTGGTAAGGCTTGCCATTGTTTTCGTGCAGCGTTACAAATTTCGTACGCTTATTTGGAGTAACGTCCATCGCAAACAATGGCCATAGGACAACTAATCGACAGTCGAGACAATAGTGCATGCGCGGGATGAAAATATGATGCAATCACGGACGACACAATATTTTTCAAGGCCAAACAAATTTCATCACACACCCCGAAAATAGATTCATATTACTGAACACCATTGCAAATGACCTAATCTGAGGAAAAAATAGAAATCGATTACACCCTGTCACTCCAGTGGGTCTAAAACTGACAGTATGGTGACAGAAAGGAAACTAAAGCGGTTGTTTCTATTAATTTGCACAAAGGTGTAAGTTACGGATGCAGTTTGGTAGGTTTCTCTGTGTGTTTAAATGATTCCTAATTGAGCTACGGTCAGAGAGGTTGTAACGTGAGTCTTCTTCATAGGCATATAGTAACATGTCCACTATATATATAGAGAGAAAGAGAGAGATAGAGAGACAGTCAGACAGACAGACAGACAGACAGAGAGAAAGGGAAGCAGAGAGTGAAAGAGATAGAGAAGGAGAGAGAATTATAGATTCATTGCTTCCTTTCATCGATTCTTCCTAAAAGCTAAAATATGTGTTAAGAAACAGAAAATTTGTTATTAGAACGAAAGAAAGAGTGCCGAACTGCTATGCAATATCATTTCTTTTATATAGCAATGAATGCTGGACAAACTACTCACAGATGGAGAGAGACTTGAGGCAACAGTGATGTGGTTCAACAGAAGGATGTTGAGTATACTAGGAACTGAGCATGTGAGTAACGTGCAAGTTTTAAGAATACTCTAAACAAAAATACTACTTATACTTAGAATCAGAAAGAGAGATTTGAAATTTGTATGACGCATAATGTGAAAGGAAGGCTTCGAGAAGTTGACACTTACAAGGCGTATTGAAGACTAAGATATATCAGAGCCCAGATATGTCGGAAATTATCCATTTTTGGTCTGGTCTGCCTCTTGATATAGATAGAGCATTCCAAGAGGAGTCAGATACTTTCTGGACCATAACAAAGAACAGACCCTTTTTTTACAGTATATTTAGCTATGGATCGTATAAACGAGTTCCACTTGAGGTCCGGGGTGAACTTGAGTCCCAACAAACTTTTCCACTTTTCAGATTCGGAGATTTGGCCTTCGATATCTGTAAGGGCATAATGATGATACGGTTCTGCAAGCCAGACTTTGCGTTGCATGTCTACTTATGAGATTCACATCATCTATAAAGAAAGGAAGGTAAGTTGCATATCCCTCTGTCTCGGAGGAACAGGAAACAGGGAAAAAAATCGAAGAAAAAGAGGGAGTTTCAATTGAGAGGGGGGGAGGTGAGTCAGCTCTGGTGAAGAACAAAGGAAAGAATAAATGAAAGAAGACTGGATGAAAGATGAAGGAAAAAGATTAGATGAAAGAAGGTTAGAAGAATAAAAGAAATGAGAAAAGATGAAGATTAGATGAAAAAGAAGAGAAAAGAAGAAGGAATGAAAGACGAAGAGAAGAAATGAAAGAAGAGGAAGAGATGAAGAATAAAAGAATAAGAATGGATTAAAAAGAAGAAAAGAAAAATAAATGGAAGATGAATAAATGAAATACGAAGAGAAGAAGAAGAAGAAGAAGAAGAAGAAGAAGAAATGAAAATGGAATAAGAGAAGATCAGCAGCCTAACGTTATCAGCTGACATAAAGTAGAAAGTCTATATTGAATCCATTGCTAGGTCAGCTGCCAAGAAATTTGGTTCACTTTGTCGTGATAAACAATTTTTCTGCCCAGAGTTGTGGAAAGAGTCTATCATGCTCTAGATAAAAACGGTGAAATCCGGACTGTTGCATTGGACGTCTTGAAAGCCTTTGATAGAGTCTGGCATTCAGGTTTTCTCCATAAGCTGAAAAGTTACGGTGTCTCCAGGTACTTTTTTGAACTGATCCAGTCTTTCGTATCATACCGTGAAATTAATGTTATCCTGAACGGCCACTCGTCTACATCCTTTCGAACTAACGCGGGTGTTCCCCAGGGCTCCATCCTTGGTCCTCTTCTGTTTTTTATTTTCATTAATGACCTTCCTGATGACATGAACTCCCTACTTGGTATCTACGCTAATGACACAACCATCTACTCCTGTTTGGATAGTAAAACTAATCAGTCCGATAAGGAGAAAATGACAACCGATGTCCAAAACAGTTCGTTCGTTGTTAGCTAGTGTAAAATATGGCTTGTTAATTTTAACGCCTCCAAAACTAAACTGTTCTCCATGTGATAGACACCTCGCTGCCTTCCATCAGTATGGCTGATGCTAACCTCTAGGAAAATGACTCGTTACACCTCGGGCTCACGTTCTCAGCTGATATGAGGCGGAAAAACTATACTGAATCCATTGCTAGGTCATCTGCTAAGAAGGTCGGTTCATTGTGTCGTAGGAAACATTTTTCCTTTCCAGAATCTATTTTCCATATATATATATATATATGTGTGTGTGTGTGTGTGTGTGTGTGTGTGTGTGTGTGTGTGTCTACCATTCGTCTAAGCTTAGAATATTGCTGCTACATATGCCACTGATGTCTCTGCTGTTCACCTTGAGCTTCTTGCTAAGACCCAAAGAAGAATCAGCAATATTATTGGTCCTGATCTGGTGGCTCGGCGTCAGTCATTTATCCACCGCTGTGAGATTGCCCCTCTGTATCTTTTCTAGAAATACTTTCATGGTAATTGTTCGGATAAGCTCTTCGCTATTGTGCCTAAACTTTTTGAACTTAAGCGCTGTACTACATCGAAATCTCATCAATTTACAGTTGAGCTGGCTAGATGTAGCCGTAAGTTCTATGCTAACAGTTTCTTCTCTCGCACTTCTCGCTTGTGGAACTCCCTTCCGGCTCCATGCTTTCCAGCCAACTTTAATCTGCAAAAATTTAAATGCAACGTCGATCGCTATCTACTGTCCTCCTGATTACTGTTTTCTCTTCCCGCTCACTATTAATGTTTCTGTTCCTAATTCCTCCACACCGTGTAACCCTCTTGTGTTTTACTGATATTACAGCCTTGCTTGGAATGATACCGAATTTTTTTTTAAATCATAGATTGACAGGCAAAAGCATCAAAAAGAATAAGAAGGACATTGTCGCATCGTCGTGAATGGATAGATATGAAAAATCATAAATGGATAGACAAGAGAAATGTCTTAATTGGACGGAGAAAAAATGTCGTACATGGAGAGATATGAAGAAATGACGTCATTATGGCGACAACAAGAAAAGTCGTAATTGGATATAAGAAGATAAAAGAAAATGTGAAGTTGTATTGATTTTGCCTCCACAAATAAGCTTAAAAGGAGTTTTAAAATTAAACAGGTGAATATCGTCAAAGAAACGGGGGTGGGGGGCTCTTTCCACGTAACTGTAGAAAGCAAATAAAGAACTAATGATGAGAATGCAACAAATAAAAAATATATATACTGAAGTCAGCTGTCAAATTCTGTGGCTGCAAGGCATCAAAAATAATGAAGTTCTCTCTTCATCTTTGTATCCTTTGATTCATAAAAACTTTTCGAAGACTCAAAAAAAAAGAAATCTCCACCCCCACATACACACACCAAAAAAAAAAATGATTTTCTTTTTCTGGTTACTTTTTCTTCAAAAGCGATTCCCTCGTGCGTGGACATGTTTAATTCTCTATCATCATATGAAGAGGATTCTTCGACAGCTATGCTCTTCATTACGATGCCCCGGAGAAAGGCGTCTAAAATTGAGGACGACCCAGAACAACAGTACGACATTATTCCTTCCCTAAACTTTAAGACATGGCCACAAGTGACAAGAGAAACCCGAACAACAAGTATGCGTCTCCCAGTTCTCTTGAACAGGAGAAGATGTTCATACCTTATTTCCTGTTTCGTGTTGGTTTTCCCGTTTCCTCTAAATTCTTTTCCTTCAATTTCACTTCCTGTAGTCCCTTGAGTCAAGGTGTTGCCACTTACTGTGTAACCCTCAACATCGAGAGGCTCTTGGGACATATACAGGATGACCATCTTTTTACACATAAAAATCAAATCAAAACATGTCTGAATATGTATTTGGAAACATATTAAAAATACGGCATGTTCAACAATTGACTGATACTCATTTTTATGATAATTTTATTTTTATTTTTATTCTATCAGGTCTAAAATATATTTTACAGTATTAATGATGTTATTCATGAAAACAACTCTATTTTTTTCTTTCTCCTATTAATTTTCTTGTGTAACCAATTAGGAATTTTCATGTTGTCTATCCAATTAAGACTTTTTTGCCGTCTATCCAATAACGACTTTTCTCCTTGTCTATTCAATTAAGACTTGTCTTCTTGTCTATCCAATTAAGTCATTTCTTTTTGTCTATCCACTTAAGAATTTTCTTCTTGTCTACCCAATTACGGCTTTTCTTCTTGTCTACCTAATTACGACTTTTCTTCCTGTCTATCCAATTACGACTTTTCTTCTTGTCTACCTAATTACGACTTTTCTTCCTGTCTATCCAATTACTACTTTTCTTCTTGTCTACCTAATTACGACTTTTCTTCCTGTCTATCCAATTACGACTTTTCTTCTTGTCTACCTAATTACGACTTTTCTCCTTGTCTATACAATTAAGACTTTTCTTCTTGTCTCCCCAAATTACGACTTTTCTTCTAGTCTATCCACTTAAGACTTTTCTTCTTGTCTATCCAATTACGACATTTCTTTTTGTCCATCTAATTACAACTTTTCTTCTTGTCTACCTAATTACGACTTTTCTCCCTGCCTATCCAATTACGGCTTTTCTTCTTGTCTATACAATTAAGACTTTTCTTCTTGTCTCCCCAAATTACGACTTTTCTTCTTGTCTATCCAATTAAGACTTTTCTTCTTGTCTGCTCTAAAATAAAATAAATTTACTTCATTTTGATACCAGTTTTATCATTTCATCTAACCTGAAGGCCTTGATTATCAATTAACTCTCATAATTCAGAAGAGTAACAAATTTATCTGGTTGGAAAGAAAGTTCGCGCTGCTTTTAAAATCTTAACTACATTTTGAAACCTCGATAACTTTCCTTCCAAAAGTTACCTTATTTTAAAATTAGTTTGTTTATTCTATCTTATCTAAAACTTCTTTTATAAGATTTATGCAGTTTTTCCGCGACAAAATAGAAATCACATGATCCTGACAAAGGTGTTGGAGATTTGAGGAAACTTTGTCACTGAATTTCGAACAGCCACCAGTTATTGCGTGTTAATATAGAAATCTTTTCACGTGATTGTGAGAAAGGTGCTGGAAATTTGAGGAGACTTTCTGTCACCCAGCATCCAACAGGCAATAAGAAACATAGTGACAATAATAATGTCTTCGTTCTAGGTTGAATGATGATGAAAAAATAGGCTACGTAACTGAATAGCCGCTTTAGTTCGAGCGACAGATGAGATTAGTGTCGCTAATGGATTTGGCCTGGCCTCAAACTTGGCTAACCAATAATTTGATCCGGACAACAATTTCTGTTGGAGGCTATCGGAAATTTACACATATTGATTCTGCACAATATTAGCCATTTGTGCCCTGACGAGCACTTTACTAATGGTAGAGAAAAATGGCTTAATTCCCAGCCACTGGTTAAACACTTGCGTCGTGGTTTGCTATTGGTTGTCTTATTTGGGGAGACTGGGACACAAAGAAAGAATTCTTGTGATAATGTGAAGGCATGCAATCATACTCTCTCTCTCTATCTCTCTCTCTCTCTCTCTATCTCTCTCTCTCTCCCTCTCTCCCTGCTATGTATAATGCTTATATTTTTGTAACTATTTTTATATCTACCGTGAAACATTACATACCAATTTTAAAGGTGCATTAACCCACAAATCACTCGATGAATGATATGATCCTTGTTTTTAAAATTATAAACTGCATAAGGTTTTTCGCAAGTACTTTCAACTGTACATTCAGTCATCTTCAGGCATAGAAATTATTTGCCATTATTTTGTATGAATGATTCATTGCAATATAAATTGAACTGCACCACATATTTGATTTAAAAGAATTGATCCGACGTGCAAATTTTTGGGATAACGACTGAGACATTACTCATACAGATAAACTCCTACAACAAAAAAATTCTCAAATTGCCATATTAGTAAAAAAAAAAACAAAAAAAAACGCACACTCTTAAATTTTCAAAAAAAAATCAGCTTTATCGTTGCGACTGCACGGTCCAAAAGTTTGTATCCGTTAACAATAACACATTTCAAAAATCATATTTCGATTCGCATTTAATTTTTTTCGTCTCGGATGCTACCTGAATTTTACCAAAAACAAAATAATTTCCATGCCTGAAGATGACTGAATGTAGAGTTGAAAGTACTTGCGTATTAAAGAAAGACCTTATACAGTTTAAAAAACAAGGATCATAACATTCATCGAGTGATATGAATTAACTGCTGTTAGAATATAGAGACGTGTTCTGGGCAATAGATGTGGCTTCCTGTCATTCACTCTCTGGCGATAAACAACGGATATCCGGTGTAATCATGCAAGAATTTCTTTACCTGAAAAGGATACTTGAATTGTTTTAGTTAGAGAGATATCTGCACTTTATAAGAGAAAGTCACTTTTCGGCTTTTTGACATCCGGCTTTCCTCAGATACATATCTATCTGGGTAACCTACAGGGAATTCTGAACTGACCACTTTATTCAATCTACGGAGGTAGACTGTTCTCATTCTACTGCTCAGGCTTAGGGATATCGTCTACGTCTTATTTTAATTAGTATTTCACAAGCCCATGCGTTTATCCCCTTGCCCTAATGGATAAAAGCATTGCTTTTCGAATGCGGTGATATAGTGGTCGTGGGTTCAACCTCTGGGTCGAGCAGTGTCTATTAACACTCATTGGAAATGTACGATCAATAAAATAGCTTTCTTAGATTTAAAAACCCTGAATGCCTAACGATATTTTACGTCTGTTAATAAACGCGTATTTGAAACACAGGGGAGGCTGCGTTAGATATGTTTTTGTCCGACAAAAGAAGATGACAGAATACCAAAATATGAGTGACGTCCACCTCGCACAAAGCGTCCAAACTATCAGCTATCTCAGTCTATCAGTTCAATGTTTGAAAATATCTTCAAACGAAAGAATACTTTCGGTTTAAAAAAAAAGACAATTATTAATCAGAGCCTATAAACTGGGGCTTAGAAATATCACAAATAGCTTTACGAAATAGCAACGTCACATCACTTGAAGACTTCCAACAGCAGCAACAATGAAAATGGATAGCACAATGAAGTAGAAGAGAAAATGATGATATAATCTGTTAATTTCTACGAATTTCTAAAATGATATAGGAATAGATTTACCAGATAACAAAAACCGTATCACTTGAAGATTTCCAACAGCAGCAACAATGAAAATGGATAGCTTATATAACTAGAAAGAGAAATAATGATATAATCCGGATGTTAACTTTCCACACTATCTTGCACAAAGGTTTTGGAAAGGAACCCATCAATCCTAGAAACAAAATGTTTTTAAGGAAACTCCCATGAATTCTAGAAAGAGCGATATGTGGACTTGAGAAGTTTATTTTCTTTAAACACTGTTTTTTAAGAGAAAGATTTTATAAAGATGGAAACTGCTAGTGACGCCATTAGAGTTATAAATTTGTCACTAATTTTTGCATTAATTCTTGACCGTTGACAATTGTTTTTTTTTTTGTTTTTTTTTTCATTCCTGACTGCCAATAGCGAGGATAAAAATTAAGCGTTGAAACTTGCTGAATAGGGTTTTAGTTGTTTTTTTATTACAAAATTACGTTGTTTAATCATTCAGTGTCACTTATATTGGCCAAATATAGTTTTTTTTATGGACAGCAAATGTCTCAAGCTTTAGGCAGGGTAGCATTAAATACTGCGATAAGAAAACCGAATCTTTGCCTACGGCGATTATTAGGCTTTTTTATATTTTTTTTATTTTTTTTTTCCTACCCCACGAATTTAAAATGTCACAATATAAGTAAAGTTTTAATGAAATTTTGAATGTATTTGCTTATCAAATTATACGCGAAACACCACAACGAAATATTTATAATGGGGCCATAAAAAAATAGATAATGAGAAAAAATAACGAGGCCATTTAAAAAGAGATTTGCTATCGTTTGACTTCCGGCAGTTTCAACGAGAAAGGTCGAGTGAAGGACTTACTTAGAATAAGGCTGACATAAATTCTAATTGTCTTAGCTGGGAATATACAGTGTCCCAAAAGTCACCATAGTATTTCAAAATTTAATAACTCCTTTATTTTTTAAGATTAATTCACAATAGATATAGAGTAGATGTGGCAAATAAATTTACACCTGTTGAGAAAGAATACGTCTTTTAAGTGGCGTCCATTTTCAGCTTCGTAAGAACTTAGCCTTTTCTAAGGCATTTTCCATCACAGCCGTCTGTGTTTCAGGCTTTAGTGCTTTAATGTCTGAATGTTGTCCTTTAGTTGTTAGAAAATCTGAAACTTGTTGGTATATATGTTTTCTTTGGAAAAGAAGAACTTATCCGGGGAACGTGGTAGCCAGGTTATACCGCAACCGCTGTTGACCCATCTTGTTGTATGGAAACAGGTTAATTCTACTAAAAATTCGTTTGATTGACGTCTGAAAGATCCAAACCTGCCTTCGAGTTGATGTTCTCAGATGTTCAATCGTTCAAATATTCAAATACACCTTCGTTCCTAACTGAACGTTGTCTGTCGCTTCATGAAACATCACATACTGAACCTTTACTCTCAAAACTTTGGAGAATCTTTCATACCGTAATGGCGACAATATGCTCGTTGAGTTTAAGCTATTGATTCTTGGATTTGATTAGTAAGATTTCACGACTTATTTTCGTTTTGTAGTCGGGAATTTTTTACAGGATTAATATCCAATTTCCAAAAGAGGACTTCATGAAAATATCTGAAAGAAAAAGAAAAAAGTTATTAAACAAAACGTTATTAAACATTTTCTTAATTATTATTAATTTCCCTGTTTAAGAAAATAAGAAAAAAACAGGGATAACAACTCAAACATATATATATATATATATATATATATATATATATATATATATATATATATATATATATAATTAAAAACGAAGACTTCAAAGATTCATGGTAATAGTTTATTTCGTTATAATCGATCTCTCCGTTGTAACTCATCAGGCCAAACTATCTCACAAAAAGAAATAGGCACAAAAATATTAATTTAAACATACATTACGTTGAAATATGTAAATTCAAAATTGGGGGAAGGGAGAGCGGAACAGAGGATATGTATTTAGAATGAAGAAGGTGATGGATGGAGGAAGAAGGATATTTCTTTATAGCTGGAAAGGGAAATTATATATATATATATATATATATATATATATATATATATATATTATATATATATATATAGTAAAGGCAACAAATCCGTTGAATATAAACAGAGTGGATCTTAGTAATATAAAATATTAAAACTAATCCACAAAAGAGCTGAATATATGTGTGTGTGTGTGTGTGTGTGAAAAGTGTATATATATATATATTTATATATATATATATATATATATATATATATATATATATATATATATATATATTATTATGAAAACGAAGACTTCAAAGATTCATGGTAATAGTTTATTTCGTTATAATCGATCTCTCCGTTGTAACTCATCAGGCCAAACTATCTCACAAAAAGAAATAGGCACAAAAATATTAATTTAAACATACATTACGTTGAAATATGTAAATTCAAAATTGGGGGAAGGGAGCGGAACAGAGGATATGTATTTAGAATGAAGAAGGTGATGGATGGAGGAAGAAGGATATTTCTTTATAGCTGGAA